ATGAAAAATTGATTACAAGTACGCTATAAATAGGTTATCATTCACTATACTATGTCTAACTATGCCTATCATACCATTACTAATAATAAATACCTAGATTATTATTTACAAAAATATATTGAATTATGCGACTAAAAATATCCGGCATAATTAATTGTTTTACATTAAGCTTATTGTTTGTCTAATAGTATTTTTGTATAACAAATAATATGGTAATAAATCTTTTAATAAAAGTTTTATTCATTAAATAAAAATATTTTTGTTTTATACTATAATGTGTTTTATATTATAGTATTAAAGTATGTTATGTTTGCAAATTGTGTTCATATAATAAATTTAAATTTTATTTTTACACAATAAAAATAAAAATTATTTAAACAAATATTTAACAACAATTATTTTACACATAAAAGTGGCAATAACAATAAAAATATATTTAATTTGAATGAATTGTTTTGGAAAAACATTTAATTTATGCAAGTATTGCATGTCCTAGTACAAGTGCATTCAAAAACTGATTTAATTTAATACAGCTATTATTCTGGGCTATAATTTAAATGCAAAAATCTTTCGTTAAATTGAATTAAAAGTTTTGCTATTAAATTAAAGTTGTTTACGATTTAAGCATTATTGCTATCATTAATACTACATACTTAGGAATTTAATAGTGAATTAGGATTTAAAGTGTAAATACTTATCATATTTCAAATCATACAAATCATTCAAATGAATTTAAATATAATAAATTTCCAGAAGTTAAATATCAAGTTTCAACAATAAAAATGTGTTAGTACAAATATTTGCATTCATAGTAAAATGTGTAAACTTGAACTTAAACCTAAACCATAAAGGATATGAAATTCTAGAATATTCTATAAAGAAGTTTATATATATATGTAAGAAATACACGGAATATTCTATATATTTATATACACAACAAATGTTTATTTTATAACTTTTATCCCTTTTTAAAATTGAGTAAACACGCAACTTTAATTCTTAAGAGAATTCCCGGCGATGAGACAACTGGCCATCAAATCGGGCGATGCATTCATTCTTGTATTCTCTGTGGACGACAGCGAGTCCTTCGAAGAGGTCCGACGGCTCCGGGAACTCATACTTGAGCTCAAGAGCCAAGACAACAACGATAACCACAACCAGATCCCGATCCCCATCTGCGTCGTCGGCAATAAAAACGATTTATTAGACGATCGACGAGTCATTAGAAAGGTATTGATTCTCGTCATATATATACAGAATATTCTGTTACTATAGCTGTGAATGTATTGAAAGAACTTGTTTTTGTGTTACTTTTCAATTCAAAAGAGTCGTTAGCTTTTGCTTTTAACTGTAAAAGTCATTTATGTCTTGATTTTTGAACAAAAATCTATAATCATTTTCGTTTCGTTTGTTTTGTGATAAGTAATTTCAATTGAGATCCAAATCAATGTCAGATTCCTTACAAAACTCTGGATTGAATTGAAAATAAACTTTCGATTCTTCTATTTCATAGGAATTTTACACTTTTATTGAATTCACGTATAAAAGGAAAAATATTTCTATAAATATAATACTAAAGCTGGAAAAATATATATAAAATATATTAAACCCACTAAAATATTTTATTATATTACCGGTAACAAAAACACCCACCTTAAACTCATTATAGCCCACGGAATTGTATGGGTTGACAAAAATTGAGTTTTTGATTGTATTATAATATAATTTGCATATTTTCTTATTAACATTATTTAAGTTATCTAGTAATTAAATTAATATTCAATTTTGTGCGGGGATTAGTGCACAGGAACTCATAATAATAAAGATTTTCAATTATCACTAATGTTTTGTGAAGTAAAATCGATTAGCAAGAATAATTTTCAATATTCATAGTTATTATTAAATAATTGTATATTAATCTTGAATTTTAATACAATACATATAAAAATAGCAAAAATATTAAACGTTTTTAATAACAGACATACATTACAGTACTTAATGTGTAATTATAATATAATCATTAAAAACATTATAATTTATTAATAATAATAATCTAAAACATAATTAAAATAACAATACTTATGCCCAGAATTTTCATTGTCAGCCATAAGTGCACTCATAATACACAATAGGAAAGGGCTATAATTTATAGCCTATAAAAATAAAGACCAATAATATTGGGGATGAAAAATAGAGATAAACTAAAAGGTGTTTTGAAGTGTTGTATCCGAAAGTGGTTTATATATAACTTACGAAAACTCTTTAACTCGAGGGCAGAGAATAATAGCGAAAAGTTTTATACCAATGAATGCCTATTCAGACGTGAGTTTAGGTATTAATACTTTTCCGTGTATATAATGAGTTGAGAAATAAACTGGCAATGAAGTTGTTTGTCTATAAAAATATAATTAACATTTCTATTTCCCTGTTAGTTAATTACAAAGTTTTTAAAATTAAACAAAATAAATACTTTTATAACTATAAAATTAGTATTCAACAACATTATATTAATATATACAGAATATTCTGTACACACATCTCATATAATTATTGTCAACCTGTGTACAGATTCTGTAATACAATTTTTAAGCACTTTTATAGCTATAGTATGATATAATATACTGTATATGAATGCATAGTATTTATCAAAAACTTTTTCAAACAAAAACTTTTTGAACAAAATTTTCTAAAAAATATTTGTTGTTATCCTAACCTCAAGGAAGTGGCGGAAAGTGTGATATGTCTGGACTGGGAGAACGGGTACGTCGAGTGTTCGGCCAAAAGCAACACAAATGTAGTGAAAATATTTCAGGAGCTAATGATCCAGACTAAAGTGCCTTACGATGTCGGACCCGCCATAGCTAATGGAAAGCCCCGGAGAAGCTCATTACCCGAGTGTCCCACCAGTCCCGTCAACAAAGACAAGGGAATGCCTAAACGAAACAGTTGTGCCGTTTCATAGACATACACAACTCGGTGGACAGGGATGTCAGCGATGTTTACGACGATATATGGATAGGTATAGAGAGATAGAGGGATGACGTGACGACATACCCATACATTACAATCTCTCTCTCATTGTCTAACCATTGAATTAGAAAAAGCATTTAGTTTTTAGTATTCATTTGTATAGCGATTATAATTGATCTAGGCAGTTTACCCATACAATGGCTAACATACGAGTAAACATAAAAAACTCTTACAAAGAAGTCTCATGATTTATTTATTTTTTCATTTACTACCATGCTTACAATCCATTTGTGTGACATAGATACCAAAATGTACTTGTTCATTTACTAAAATACGACAAAAATAAAAAAGCTTTATTACTTACTATCACTTGTTTTTTGACTTTCATTTATGGTATGTCTGTGTATTCAACAGTATTACGGACTCATTGTATTCACGTATTGTTTACTAATGTTTTTCTTGTGAATCCATAGAAAATTCCGGAGTTTTGAGTTTCATCTGAAAATAAATGTCTATTTCGGACTCATTTAGGGCTAAAATTGTACTCTCAATGAGCGACACATTTATATCTCTAGTTATATAATCGACAATAAAATTTGATGTTTTATGGACAGGGATCACAAACTCCGGTAATCTAGTAGTTTACCATGTAGCTAAAATAATATTAGATAAATTATAAATAAAATTAGTTATATAATTCTGGCTATCAAAATAATGCTTATAATGTATTCGTAAAATAAAATGGTTTACTATGTATTATGTATTAGAAAATAACGTTTGGATACCCCCTGGGTCAATCTTATTAGCAAATAAACTGAAGCATTAGAAATGCCAAACAGTTTTGCCGTACAATCGATATCCACTACACTATAGCCGTATACCAGAGATAATGTCCTATTGTTTCACTAAATTAGAGTAACAATACCTAATGAGTAGTTTTCCATTGAAAATAATAGAAAGATATTATTGTTTTTTCGGACAGTTATCATGAAATTGTCTCAATTTGATGGACAAACAGACAATACGCCTACGGATTCACGAAAGTAAGTACAAAAATAGACACAAACGCCTGAATTATTCAATCGTTTTTAATATAAATCTTTATATTATATATATTTTCTTATATAAAAAAATTCTTTCTGAAGATCTCATGAATTGGTAATAATCTGTGAATAGTTTAGTGCACTTAGTGTTGGAGTATTTGTCAGAGACTTTTATCTAGCTATATATTTATGTAAAATCATATATACCTTAAAGCTGTGTAATAATATACACTCTTTATATCAATTTTATAGATAATTTTACTTACAATCCATTTATTTATAAAATTATAAAATACCGTAATATTAGAAATATTTTAAACAATTATTATTATAGCTTACAATAGAAATGTATATTTAAAATAAATGCAAAACAAATGTATTTTGCGCTGACGTTAATAGGAACTCAAATCTCACCAGAATCATTATTTACCCTGACAAAAAAAATCTGTTGATTCAGTTAAAGGACTTATAAAATAAGCCAAAACCTACGGCACAGACACTCAGACAGACATTAATCGATGGCCTAATTCTATATCCAGTAGACTATTCTCAAGAATATTCTATGATTTGTATGATTTAAGTAATAAAACAAATTTTAATCACAAACCTAAAAAGGATGTTGTTCAAATCTCTTAAGAATTAAAGTTGCGTGTTTACTCAATTTTAAAAAGGGATAAAAGTTATAAAATAAACATTTGTTGTGTATATAAATATATAGAATATTCCGTGTATTTCTTACATATATATATAAACTT